CATCCAACCTGCCACTGCTGACCAAATTGCAATTTACATTGGTAGAGAAAACTTTTGAAATGGGAAGGTGTGGGAATATAATACCATTTTTGGCATAAAAAAAGTGTGCAGGGTGATATGTGGTTTAATGGTTTTCTAACAAGCTTTTGGAAAAATCTTTGAAACATTAAAAAAAGACAATAAAACTGTAAAATCACAGCAAGGTCTGCTTGAAAAGTGAAATTGATGCTATATACACAGGACTTCTGAAGACCACATGACACTTATGTCTCATTTAAGCCTTAATACGAGGATTCAAGAGGGGCTAGATTTTGCAAGACACCCTCTCCACACCCACCTCCCCATCCTCAGGTGTCTTTCCTCATAAGAATTTGATCTGGATGAGAATAATAGCATTGAAAAACTTTTTATATATTTTTCTAAACTAAGCACAACTTTAGTTTCATCAGAGCATCAGTTTGTTTGTTTGTTTGTTTGTTTGTTTGTTATTTGCTTGTTTAAAACTGAGTTTAATAGGAGTTTTATGATATCACCTGTCTTCTAATGCTAAAGATAAGTATTTTTGCATAAGATGAATAAAGCTGAATGCATGTTTTCTGGACAGCAGAAGAGACAAACGATATCAGAACAGTTAGGAAGAAAGCTAATTATGTTATGGACAGAGAGATTTAGCATACCAGTACTACCACTCTCCCTTTTAAGAGGAATAGATAAGTAAGAAAACCCGGTCTGTTTCCCAGCCTGAATAAGTCCCACAGATTGCTGAGGTTAACAGTTTCCTAGCTACTTAATTTCATAGTTATTCTTTGCAAGTCTTACAAGGAGGTTTTAACATTATGCAAAGAGGCAGTGCCTCCAACCAAGGCACTATTCGCTCCCATTGCCAGAGAGAGCCACAAAGAACTACAGGGAAAAAAAATGCTGCTGGGCTTATCATACATGAGCTCAGTTTATTTGTGCTATAAATAAATTTAGATCTTGATAGCATAATTACATTTTTCAGCATTATCCTCTGCCATTCGCTTCAGAAAGAAAAAAGAAAGGGGAGAAAAAGTTGGCTTCACTATAATTTGTAATCAAAATGACTACACTTAAAACATAATTTTATTTCCTTGATTTCATTTCCTGTGGAGCTTTGTGGGGCAAATAGATAAAATTATACCAAATCTGCAGGCAGATCTTTCTCACATCCCCTGCACTGTCATTGTCCAGATCACTCTCCCCTCTCCCCGTGCTTTCCCCAAGACCATGGGCTGTGTTTTTGATATTACATTTTATCATCGAGACTTACATAATCAGCAGCAGAAATCCCAGGGGTGATTCAACTTTTACTTTCTCTACTTTCTTTCTCTTGCTCCCCACCCCCCAATTACTCTTCCTCGCCTAATTTGCATTTTATAATGTTGGAGGTGGGGGGGGAAAAAAAAAAAAAAGAAAAAAAAAAAAAGAGTAAGCGAACAAACCCATAATTTCTAGGCATGGTGAAGGCAGGAAAAACAAACTCAGAGGTTATTATACCCCCCTTTTTTTTTTTTTTTTTGCCTTTAAAAAAAAAGAAAAAAAAAAAGAAAGTAGTTTCCCACTATGAAGGATTAGCACAGATTATAGTGAACAGTGTTAATTATAGGTGGGGAAAGAGAATAGTGCATCTCTCCAATCTGTTCTTGATTTCCCCCGCGTCTGTCTGCCTGGTAATAAGCCCCCTTTAATCTGGCAGTCCCCTTGGTGAAATCAGCACCACGGACAGCGGTATTGATTGCTTCTGAGAAACCATCACAGCTGCTCAACCAAATTACCTTTGATATGTGACCTTTAATGTAATTACTGCAACATCAAAGCATTTCTATAAATTATTAAAGAACTAATATACTTCATCATCCAGCTACTCTATTATATGTAAAATAAACAATCACAAGTAAACGCCAGAATTTGAATTGTCCCGCACTCGCAAAGTGCTCTTTGCACATACATACCCACCCTGCTACATTAACCTTCTGTTTTAGGCAAGACAATTTCAAACTGTCCAAAACAGACTAATTCATTTCGATGAAGAGGATGCAACTAACAACGTTATGCTTTACATTCCATTCTAGTTGCTTCAAAATATCTATCATGATTCCTGCCCGCCCAAAAACAAAGTGCCGTAAAGACTTTATTAATCAACACATACCTGCTTGGAAGTCTTTTGATTATTCCACAAGATGACTTTATGTCCCACATATAACATAGAAATATGTGAAACATATTTCTGTCATCTTACAAAGCACATCCAGAAAGTAATTACTGTAAAATATGTGCATGTAGCCACTCCACTAAAAACAAAGTGATACATAGCTACGAGGCAAGGCGTCTGAATCTGGACACAAACTCCTCATGCCTCACTATTTCCATACATTAGCATTTATGTGCATATTATTAAAAATGACTCAATTCTGTGTTTTGTAGTACAAAGAACACAAAAAGCAATATTACAAGAGCAGGAAAATACACAGTTTACTGGGGGATGGGAAAAAAGTGTCTTGATTCAATGGTACTGTAGTACTATTTTCTTTTTTCCTATATGAGGTTTGTTAATTATTTTTGATACCTCCTCAGTAGTGCTGTTTGCGAGAAGATGATATATATGTATCATTTCCAAACTCATGCGAAGGAGGACTTAGACCCCTGACCTTATGAGTGCTTTTTATTTTATGGTGATGAACTATGCTTGATATTGTTGGTTCATGTTATCAAAAATAGTCAGGTAAGGCATAAATAATTCTCTGCTATTCACACAGGAACCATAAAACAGTATCCAGGCACGATAGTTTATCAAGAGAAAAGGCTGGTTTCCTTAAATAAACTACAGTGACATCATTCAGAAGATGAGTTCAGAAACTTGGCAGAAAGCTGTATGCAGAGGGTTTGCTGGTGGAAAGTGAATGTTTATCCTGAGACAAACAGAACTGGTAATGAAAGGGATAGAAGAAGTCAGTGCTCAGAACTCTCAAGAATCTGACTGCAATTTTAGACAGAGGATTCATCATTCTCCATTCAATCAGATCCTGATGCGTCACCTCAAATTGCAAAACAAAACAAGGAAGCCTTCTGAAGTTAGCATGGTCAGTATGGGTTATAGGTGATAGAAACGACATAAAGCAATGAAGAAAATGTTTTGCCTGTAGTCTAGAATCAGTCAGTATAGCCTCTGAAGGAAGTCTTGATCCTGGTGCAAAAGCTGGTTGAATTTTTCCACTGTCCAAGTCAATAGTTTTGACTTTGTTTTGAAAGGATTTTATGATTTGGATGCTCTAAAGTTCAGACTGAGATTCAGAACTGTGGACATATAAAGAAATAATCCTAAAGAAGAAATCCTAAATCATCAGTCTCCAACTCTGAGCCCCCAGTCACACTGACCCAGTGTCTTCTTGAAGAGATTCTCATCCTACACCTTCAGCATGAGATTTTAACGGCATAGGGAAGATATGAGCTCCATATGCAAGTAAGTGGTCTGGCTCCTGATCAGGAGAGCAGATAGTCCCAGTGGAAAAATTGAAATTCCAATTAGTATATTTTAAATACACAACACCCTATTCATGATACCTGTAACTCTAGTTTGGATAAATACGTATTAGATTTCAAGCATTTTTGCTTGAAATTGCTTCAGAAAATTTCAGGTAAAATTTACCCAAAACATCCCTATTCAAAATATTTTGATTTTTTATGCACCCAGTTCTATCCTTCAGAGGGGAGAAAAGCAGAAAGAAAACATCACCTGTTAGGAAAAAAAAAGGAAATGAAAAGGAAAAAGCTAAACCCCAAGAAGACTCAAGTTACTTTCAATCTGCAGCTAACGAGTTTCTAGAAAAAAAAAAATTCAGAGGGAGTTGTCAGCTGACAGAAATGTATTTTTAGGGAATGAAGTATGTATGTATTTACATAAGGTATGGCCTTTAAAGCAAAGATAGATGTAGATGAGCAAGTGCGTGGGCATCTCCATACTGGCAAGGTGGCATAGAGATAGGTAAATAGACTCAGGATGATGGAAACAAGCAGAGCAGAATCAACACTTTCTTCAGAAACACAGAGGAAGTTATGTGTCTTAGGTTGCGTGGAAATGGAGGTTATGGATATACAGGACTCAGTCATTCAACTCCAACTAATAAAGGCAGATTTTTGGATCATCTTCCTCTCAGTTTAGATGCAACCGGGAACTCTCAGGATCCCACTTTTAATTACTCGATCACTGACTTTTTTGTCAATGTGAAACCAGTTTTTTTCTCACCACATGAGTGCTGTACTCAACTGTTTCTAATCATGTACCCTGGCTGAATCTAGTCTCTCTCTCCCTCCTCCCAGTTACTGCTTAACTGGAAACCCATCCCAGCAGGGCAGGTCTTCCCCACATAATGCTGATTCTATTTTTAGTTCTGCTTGTGTTGTCTGAACCTTAGATCTTGCTCATGTGAATAATTTTCCTCATTATCTTGTGTTCGTCTCTCCTCTCTCTCTTTTCTCCTTGTCTCACCGCCTTTCCAATCTGCTACAGCTGCTTGAATACTAAAGTAACTGAGTCAAACTACTTTGTCATCAGGAATATGTTTTCATTCTGTGATAACTCAATAATGTGATCTGTTTCTTGATTTCTTCCTGCCACACCTCGCTTCAGAGAAGAGAAATAGTAAGAGGTAGCACCTGGTGAGTGTTTCTAATAGTTCATTGTAGTCCTCAGAATCCTAAAGCCTTTCCTCAGCTGAGTAAGGCTGGTAGAACCCAGCCCATAAGCACTTAATTACTGTTTTCCTGACTCCCGATAGGAGCAAAAAGCTTTTAGTTTTGTGCATGGAAACCATTTGGGTGGGTTGGTGGTATCTTGATTTTATTAGCACAATGCAAACAGTGAATCATCCAAGCAACCAGAGACTTTATGCTTCCAAATCCAAGATGAGAACTTCATATGTAACCGATATTAGATTTAAAAAACAAAACAAAACAAAAAAGGGTTATCAATCTGGACTCACCCCCGGCAGTGTCTTTTGTTCATGCAGTGCACTCTGGGCCTTTAGAGCAGACTCCCTTTCGCAGTATGTTAGGAAGGCACAGCCTGTAAAAAAAAAGGTAAAAGCTTAGTGAAAGCAGTGCTTCAGAGGCATCTGTTTAAAATTGAGACATAGAGCAAACCACTATCCTGTTATCATCCCATTCCCAGTAAAACAATCCCAGTAAAAATCTCTCATTTGTAGGTCAGCTGTAAAGAGTCAAGAAATGAAGCCTTCATCACTTCTTCTTGAGCCCCCATGAAAAGTGAGCAACAGTGTGACTATGAGTGCTTATTTTTGTATGAATACATGATTAAGTGTCAGACATGGATAGCTGTACAAGATTAGGGATCTCAAAGAACCCACATGGTGAGAAGGTGGGGCATGAGATCCCACTCTTACTCCAGCAGTGTCACTGTGAACAAGTCCCTTACTGCCATATCACGCCGAAGGTCTCACACTCTTCTTTTGTACCAAATACTTTAAGTAAAGGGCATACAAGGACTTGGGACTTCCTACTGCAGAGGACTACGCCTATTGTTTAGCCTGACTTGCATCCACAAGCAGTCTCCCTGTTTGCGTCACACCAGAAAGCCACCACCCTGCACTTGCTGCTGCAAGGGCTTATTGGCTTCCAGCCACGCACACAAAGACAATCACAGCAAAGCCCAAATAATCAATCCATAACATCCATGTTGCTTTACAGATCATTAGAACTTCAGAGATGTTTCAATGGATTATGTCTTTGATTCTTCCAAAGAAAGTTTTCTTTTCAACTACAAAGGCTAAAACCCTGTCATGACAGGGCAGAGCAAAAACCCTGCTCTGCCTTCTCTCCCTATCTCCATATTTGCCATCTGGTAAATCTGGTCCATGTTGCAATGTCTTACACCAGTTGTGTGTTTGTCTGATGTGACAAGATCATTCTTTCTTACTGCAGTATACTGAAAACCTGCCAGTTCCTGCAGCAAATGAATTGCTTGTTATGCAGAGGACATTTTCTCTGAAGTTACTACAGAATGTCTGCAACCTCGCCAGCTCTTTGAAATAGAGGTATCATATCTTTCAAGGTTCAGGCAGGATGTCCATCAAACTGTGGGCATTTCCTAAGAGCAGCACAAGCACAGAGAGACTGCCAAAGAAACAAACATGTCCCATAACCTCCTCTTGACTGACCCACCTTCTTCCCATGTGTATAGAAAAGTATGCAACAGGTGAGTGAACAGCAGACTATGAACATTTTTTCAGTTATTATCACCACTGTGATATTTTTGTCCATACAATATTTACTGTTTTATCCAAGTTTGTTCCTCAGACAATATTAATGAAGAAATATCCACTTGATCTTTTCTTCTTGATAATTTTTTTAATAGATTAGTATGCGGAAGATACTAGGGAGATTCTTATTTTTTTTTCCATAAACATACATATATATTTTCTTAAAGATTCTCTTCTGAAAGTCACCATACTGCACTCACAGTGAAGTTACAAGCTGGATGAATGTTCCAATTTGACATGGGAAAAAAAAAAAAAAAAAAAGCCCTATTTTTGTCCCATTTCTTACCCTATACTGCTTTCTCAAGGTCTTGATCCTTCCACTTCTTTCAAGCTAATCACATTTATTATGTCTCAATAATTAAGACTCAGAAGCAGCAGTTGACAATCAAAGAAGGGGAACTGAACAGCAGTAAAAGTTTGCACTGAAATTAATTGGAATTATTTGGATTCATTCCCCTCTAACTTTAAACGGATAAGTTTTCACTTAGTCTGCATCCACCAAAGAGGAAAAATCTGTGGCAGTTTACAGCTAGTAGAAGTAATAGATTGAAAAGGATCCTGAAAAGTCATCTATAGCTTAATAATCAAATGGAAAACTATGCTTAAATTTAATTTCAGTGCTAAATCACAGGCTGAGAGCTCTCTGTTGACTAGACACAATAAGAAAGTCTCCCTTTAGTAGCAGACGTGGAGCGGCTGATACAGTATAATTAGGCACATCATAGTGCACTGTTATAGAGATAAACTACGCAGTGTAAAGCTCCCATAATGATAGCTATATTTTTCTCCTCATTGTGATGGCCATGGCAACAGTTCAGGGTAACAGTGTCCTGCAACTCCTATCATATCACGACTGTAATTCAGACTGAGTAGGCATAAGACTACTCCTCTCTCAAGGAGCAAAGTTTCCTTCCAAGATCCACAAAAAGTTGGGGGGTGGGATGGTAGGAGGAAGTTCTCATCAGGGAGAAACTTCCATTAAGTCCTCTCCAAACATGTTTGTGAAAGTGGTAGAAGTACTAAACTCCCACAAACAGTAGAATGCATCCAAACATCACTGATTTTCCAAAGAGGGTGGTAAGTACAGAAGTACTTTGAAATGGAAAGGAAGGTATCTAGTCTCTCATATGGTCAAAGAAAAGACATATTTTTCAGGGACAAAAAATAGTTTGTGGAAGTACTTCTTTTTCTCTTGCTTCTTAAAAATATCGTGCACATGAATTACACTCTATCCTACTCTTGCTAAGCAAAAAGTAATTTATTTAGGAAACATAATACCTCATTTACTTTAAGCAAATCCTAATTCTTTAAAGACGGTAAGAAGTTCCATCCCAGCAATGGCCAGCTGGAATAAAGTAGACCTTAATGTTCATGATAGGCCTCAAATCTGAACTTGAAAAGGCCAGATCATGAAGGTTTTTTTTCTTCTCTTTACTTACCATAAGGTTGCTCTATAAGGCATAAACCCAGCATCAGCCATCAGCTAGAGTAGTATTTTTCAAAAACATTAACATGTGGCTTGTGATAAAACAATACGTATCTATTATTCCATCCTGCAAGAATTTCCATAATTCAGCTCCTTGTGCATTAGGATGAAAGGAAATAAGATTTCTCCCCGCCCTTAGAAACATCAAAGTACTTGATCTGTCCTTTGTATTGTGATGCTTAATGGAATTACAACTGTCGCACCTATTTCAGGTGTTACTTTTCCTAGGCTACCTCTTTCAGAGTTGCATCCACATGATCTCTCCAAAGGATTCTTCCTTCCTGGAGAATGTTGCTCAAGGAACAGAGCACTGAACACTCTGGTTAACACTTCAGGATAGAAAACCCTAAACAACTGAGACTTGAAATAATGTCATATGAAGCAGCTATACATAGGGCTTTACAGAGAAAAGTCAAACTGTAGAAAAAGGGGTTTTTTTTATTTTGATTTCACAGATGGAAAACAATTTCAGAACAATTAATTTTCCCCACTGTCATTTTTGACTGTGTTCAGAACCACTTATTTCAAAAACCCAAACTTTTTGATAGTAAACTCTTAGCAGCCCAACTTACCAGCTCACTTGCCACAACCTGTTTGGGCTGCATGTGAATCTGGTGACAGTGACAGGACAAGGGGCAATGGACACAAGCTGGAACATATGAAGCTCCACTTAAATATGAGGAAGAACTTCTTTACGGTGAGGGTGACAGAGCCCTGGAACAGGCTGCCCAGGGAGGGTGTGGAGTCCCCCTCTCTGGAGATTTTCAAGACCTGCCTGGATGCAGCCCTGAGTAATGTGCTCTAGGCATTCCTGCTTTAGCAGGGGAGTTGGACTAGATGATCTCTAGAAGGTCCCTTCCAACTCCAACAATTTTATGATTCCGTGATTTCTGAGTGAAAGTCTTCATATGCCATTACAAACCACTTACACCGTCTAGCTTCTTGGAACAGCCTATGTTCAACAATATAATGAATATTTCTGAACACATCTCTTAAGATAGAGAAAGATAGAGTGAAGGGTATGCATTTCTGTCATCTACTTGTATGGGTGATAATGACTGAGTGAGTAAAGTGCTTGAGAATTATATCTGAATTTGAAAAAAAAAAAATCTAATTGACTAATTATTGGTAATGAAGGACTTGCTCCTAGCTCTTCCTAATTTCAGTGCCATTTATCTCAAACATGCCAAGTTTTCCAGACATATGTCAATCAGCTAAAAGATGCTTTATTCAGATTGTGTCTTTCCAGCTGTTCATTTGCTACTAGTGGACAGCTCCTTGGACTAGCACATAAACATCTGGAAACTCCCAGCTGGCAATTAACTCTCAACCTATTGAACTGCAGTCTCTTGGAAACATGAGGATGTATCAAGTGGTCTCCTGGGAAACAAGGTTATTAAAGAGAAGAGGGAAACAAAAACAAGATCTCGAGATGGAAAAAAAAAAAAAAAACACAAAAAAAACCCCACAAAAAAACCCCACAAAAAAACCCCAACAAAAATCTCCCAACAACAAAACCCAAAAACCTACAAAAAGAAAAAAAAAGCTCTATTTTAATTTTACCTCCACTTAAATAATAATTGCATGGAATACAGATGGATAATGATCACGCTTATGGCAACTTCAACCCCACAGTAAGTCTCCTTTTGTACAAGCCTGGGAGGCAAAACAGTCAGGGGACACATTCTCAGCTGAACAGAATAATTCTGGAAACCAAGAATTATTTCACCCCATCAGTACTTACATCCTGGGATAAATGAAAAGAGAGTCTTTTCATTTAACATCTCAGTGCTTATCACTTCAGTAACTCAGTTGACCCTCAGCAACTTTAAACAAGATAAGTAGATGTGACTAGTTAAAAAGCATTGATCAGCTAACTCAAATTCAGTCAGTTAAAGTTAGTTATCTTAGAGTCTACTATCATTGACAAGACAATCATTTGACCTAGCGTACAGGAGCAGAATAAATCTTTGCAGACACCTTTCCTCTACATTGGGTGTATAAACCATGCACAACCATCTCAGGTGCAGGCTTTTAGCTTCAAGGTTGCATGTTCACAACATCAGATTCTACCTGCTACCTTTAACCTCCCAGTCACCTCAAGTATATACATTATCTGTACTTAAGTTAATCTTTGTTATATATGGTGGGGGATGAGGTGATGCATACTGGAGTACTATTGATAACTATAATGAAGGGCTTTTCCCCCCTTTCTTGTTTTATTCTGGCAGACAGCCACAGGTATCCTGGCACAGATTCTCCTCTTTGCCCATTGTTTAGATCAAAGAACAAGCACTTAGT